GTACTATTTGACCGACAAGTTTCAATAAAACATCAAACACTAAATTTCATTGCAATTCGTGGAGCAGTTTCGGAGGGTTAAGTAGGAGTAGACATAATTTCCCTATTGTGCGTCCATTTTATTGAACTCATTCCAACGGAAACAAGATGACTGTTCGGTGTAACGGCTGTTGTATGATTAGTTTCACAACAACAGAGGTGCGTCTGGAATAGAGGGACATGAAGGACAGTTAAATATCGCAGATCGAAAAGAATCACACTGGAAACATTCAGAGCCATTTCAATTCATGCCAAAACAATCGCACTCTATTTAAAATACTGTCAGGTGTAGGTGGATACGCGTGACGAAAATCACGTGTTCTAGATCGGATGATTGGATTTATTGGCACTTCGGTTACAAGTTCTCTTAATTGCAATTAACAGAGCACTAGCGCTGATTTACGCAATTTACAGTTCATCGTTGCACACACACTAGGACTCTCAGTTTCACTAGTCGTTTCCTGGCAACGGATCTCAACGCAGCACTTCAGATTACTATGAAGTCTTTTAAACACCCTGGAAACTCGGGACTCAACTAAAAACTCTCCCTTTAGCTGCAACAGGGCTCGTGTTATATAGCCGCGGCATGGACAACGCAGAAAACACAGTTATACTTTTGCGTAGCGCAAACCACATAGAAAACAAGTCACGTGATAGCTAAGCACTGTTGGAGTGTGACGTCATTGCGGCTGCGCAGAAGTATGTTTGCCGAGTCGTTGCCTAGAAGCGGGTTGCACAACACCGTTCTTCCATTGTTGCATGCGTGTATTGCGGGGCGTTTATCGAGCCATTTCCTTGGCATTGCATTAACACGTTAGAACACAGTAACTCTAAACAGCCATAGAGAAAGGAAAATGCGAAAAGGGGGATACTAACACTGTGAAGTAAGAAGAAATGATGATAGCAACAGGAACCCACATGCAATAAATATGTTTAATCACTTAACTGAGGCAAATCTCATTTTCGTCCAAAATACCTTGCTGCCTCGTACCTGTCAAACTCAGGTGAGGCGCACACCATGGATGTAGAGGAAGGTAGATTTAATGAGCTACTCCCTACTAAATAACGAGAAAATGGGAAGGTTTAACATGACGGGGTATATGCCAGGAGTTAAACCCCTCGTTACGTCATCTAATTATCGATAAACACGGGGCTTGAAGGATAAAGGGAAGTCACCCATAATAATTATAGAACCATTTCCTGTGATCACTTTAGGGCCGACAGGGACAGATCACAGTAATTGCTGGGACAGGGCCAAATTAAAGGACATGAAAGGCTCCACTGGACACCCACACCTATCTGTTTCGAATTTAGTTGGTCTTTCTGTAGGTCCTGGTTCGTAATTTGGGAGGCCAAAGTGACATGGTGGTGGTGGGGAAGAACCGTTTTGGACTAAAATTTTTGGATTTTATGTTTTATTTATGCTATGTTTCCTCTCTTTCTTTTGGGTTTAACATCCCAAATGGAATGTGCTTAATGAAGTACCACGCCATGAAGACGGTGTAGGGGAGTGGAGGTACAGCTACATATATTCTTTATCTCGGAAGCAGATGGGTGGGAGTGATGATCAGCATCACACTCCGGTCACTTTAACCTGGGGGAGATCCACCGATGTCCACTTGATAATTGGCTGGACGGGCTCAGAGTCGGATCGGGGGCAGTGGCAGAAGAGAAACTTCTAGGCCCTAAACGGCAAATGAATCCCAATAGTTTAGTCCCTATAAAGACTGACCTATCCCGGCTCCAAAATGTATTTAGTATAACATTTCGTGCTGAGCTCTTAAATAAGTAAGTACGTACATATGTGAACATAAACATGCATATGTGAACATGGATATATGTATTTTGTAAAACCTCAAAGTGACGTCAAAATTCCCACCGCGGCGGCCCGGGTTCGAGCCCGAGTCAGGTCATTTTGGAATTGTAGTGGGCAAAGTGGCACTGGGAGAGGTTTTCTCCGAGTACTTCAGTTTCCCTTGTCAATTCGCATTCCACCATTTGCTCTAGAATCATCATCTATCATCTGAGGCTGGTGCAATAGGCCAAAGAGTGGCCGCAGTACCAAGTGGTCTCAGTCTCACTCCATGAGAAAAATAATAATAAAATATATGTAAAAATGTGTCGGGTAAGAGAAAGAGCATGGGGATTTCAGAAAAGCGGCGGGAAACTAAGACGAGAATAAGTAAGGACCACTGGTTTAGGTTCTTCTGTATTGATTAACTTCGCCAAAATGACGAAATACAAGCAACCTCCCCTCACTTCATCTCTCTTAGGTCCAAATATTCTCCTCAACATCCTATTCTCAAACACCCTCAGTCTGTGTTCCTCCCTTAATATCAGAGACCAAGTTTCACATCCATACAGAACCACAGGCAAAATTATAGTTCTGTATATTCTAATTTTAGGTTTTTGGACAGCAGACGAGAAGACAAAAGGTTCTGGACTGAATTGTAGCAAGCATTACCCAAGTTCAATCTCCTCTTCATTTCTTCCTGAATCAGGTTTTGATTTGTTATAATCATTCCCAAATATCTGAACTGTGCCACATTTTCAAAACATCTGTTTCCTATCTTTATGTCATGATTTTGCCCTGCATTTTGGTGACGAGACAGCGACACATACTTAGTTTTCCCTGTGTTTACTTCTAGACCAACCTCCACTAGCGTCAATTAAAGTTTGTGTGCTTTTCTTTATGGTATCAACATTATCACCCAGTAGATTCACATCATCGGCATAGACCAACAGCGGATGCGTCCAACTTAATTTCAGTCACACCTGGTTTTCTTGGACCTTCTTAATGGGATATTGTAAAGAAAAGTTGAAAAACAGTGACGATAAAGCATCTCCGTGTTTTAGACCATCCTGAATACGAAAATTATCAGACAAATGTTTATCTGTACGGACTTTACTATACGTTTCGTTTAAACACATTTTAATCAACCTAACTAGTTTCATGGGTATCCCAAACTCTATCAGAATATTGTACAATACTTCCCTCCTAACTGAATCATAGGTACTCGTGAAGTCTATGAATAGCTGATGTACTGTGTCATCGTACTCCAATTTTTTCTCCAATATCTGACGGATGCAAAGGATCTGATCAAACAACAACAACATGTAATATAGGGTATATAAATTATAGGCAATTCTAAAAATCTGAATGGATTTGGATTTAGTCACGTGACAAAATATGCATAAGCCTAACACACTAATCTAAAAACTGATTTGCGTGTCACTGTTTGACGATTAACGTACCTTACCTACTTATAATATTAAAATTATGAGATCAGCAGGACTGGAATTGTGGGCAACAGGAAAGCAGGCTCTGTGAATTTTGTCTGGAAATCACTTCTCTGTAGATGGGTTATCCGTGATAAACTAATACAGACGAATTTTAACTTTATTCATTCTGGTCCATCACATTAGTTAGATAATATAGAATGATATGACACCGTCCAGTGTGACTGAAATGTATATTTGTATGATGCCTTTACTTGTTTCGGTCAGTAAATGACCATCCTCAGGGGGCACAGCAACATGTTGAGGAAACTACAGTGCATGACACTGCCTCGACACACAACGAACAGAGGAACAGCCTAACAACATTCACATTCCTCAACAACCATAAAAAATGGAAAACAACACGGGCCGGACCCCTAAGGACGGCAATATCTTCCCCAATCTCTCGTTGACAGGGGAGGCACGAAGACACGGACCTTAACGTTTTAAGATTTTAAATATTAAGAATTTTAACAACTTTTAACTCAAAAACAAATTGACTTAATTAAAATTTGTATATAAAACTTTGATTCAATTTGATGCACTGTGACTAATGTGATAAGAGTTTCCTTAACATGTTGTTATGGTTGTTTACTGACCGAAACATGTAAAGGCATCTTATATGTATATACACACACATTTGAGTCACACTGGACGATGTCAAATCATTCTAAAATACAGGCGAATTTTAAAAGATAATTTAGTTATATAATGCATATAAATGCCTATAAAATAAATAATACATAAGTATATATTGTAGATCTACCTATGTACTTTTCAACATACGAGGCTTACATTAATGAAATAATAAAAAAAACGTTTAAAACACACGATCCTTTAGTACTAAGATATGAATTATTAGCCATGACAATGAACCTATACGACACTGCGGTGTCCCCTCCTTCTAGCCAAATGCAGAGATAACAGAGTCTCCCAAAACTACGGTATTACGGCTTCTAGCAGGGCCCGAATTCCAAAATATGCCGCTAAGTGACCTCTAGAGTTGAAAAATCGTAGTAATAAATCAACCCAGTCCACGCCGATTTGGGTTTCATTCTATGGATACAAACATTAAAGTTTCATAATTTACAAAAGGTCATTTCACTGTCCGTACAGACAAGTGAACACAATAATTAATTTTTATAGGATTCATTTCCTTATATACTGTCTGTACAAAACAAAATGCAAGTAACCACACAAATATATCCTGTATTTTATCTTCAAAGAAAGAGGTCTGGGATGGGTTGTATACTAAATGACAGAAACTTGTGTACGTGGATGGTAACTTGCATTCGATTTTAAATTTAACATTTAAAGAGTACCTGAAGCCTCTGTCAATATATTATGTACTCCTGAATTGCAAAATGCATCATTACTATTGCTTCGAAATTATATACACATATTTACAACTATATTTTTAATAAATTTATAGAATGAATCTCTCCGTTGTAAATCTAGAATCGTCATTTCATTGGTGGGCGGGAAACCCTATATACATATTAAAATACCGGACTGTATTTACTACATGGAAGCTGAATTCGGTTTCTCGCGTTTAATTTCAAAGGCTGTAACAATGTTTGGAAGACTGTTCTGTTTTGTGACGCATCGGGATGTATAGACCGTGACGTGGTTACTACTTTGCTGCCATTTAGCCCTCAAGTGTCTTGCGGCCGAATCACTCACCCCTCAGATGTGTCACCGCATCCCTTTGCCCGTCTCTCTGTCTCCTCACCGACATTGTGCAGATGAATTCACTTGTCACACAACCGAGCTACAGCTGCTCATCATAGTGCAAGACGTTTCTCTCCGGGACAGACAGCGAACCCGTGGCTCTAACCTGCGTACCTTGTACCCCCGAACTGAGTCCCCGTGGGCTGCTCAGGATCTAGTGGGCTTCACGGTCCTCATGGGCAGGCGCAGAAGTGGACGTTCTTACACTGCCTGGTGCCCGGAGGTCCTTATGCTCGCTAGGTATTGGCAGGTGTAGATGTATAGGCAAACAGTAAAGGCTCTTCTTACGCTGCGACTGTGAGTGTTGACTGGACAGGCAATGTGTTTCACAGACGGGTAACAGATATACCTACACTGTTTACAGAGGACTGGATGGACGTACACTGTGTTGTACAGAGGACAGTAACCGTCTGGAGAATTGAGTACGAGCTGTGGATGTTGGTTGGACACACACTGTATTGAAGAGTGGTGACAGTAGCTGTTGTTACTATTGGAATTTGACATGTAGGTTATGTGATGGCTGGACACAAACCGAGTTAGGTGTAGCAAACAATGTTCGTTCTTACACTGTCTGGAGAAAGACGGGATGTGGGCGAGGTGCTGATGCTGGCTGGTCGCACACAGCATTTTCCAATAATGTCCAGCCTGTTCTCACACTTCTGGAGCAGGTGAAATTAGCAGTGCTAGCTAAACTTGGGATTACTTCTATCAAAGTGTTAATTTCAGTACTGTTGGTTTTTTTTTTTTTCAATTTCTGATTCTTTTAGAAATAAGTATATAGAGACTACTAGCGCCAGTGGTAGCATTAGTAACTAATATGACGCAGTTGGCGGAAGGAGAATTGGTAGGTGACAGAGGCCGACTCCGCGGGCGGGAAGGTAAGATACAGAATTATTTGAGGTCTGCATTTAGCCCGGAAGGATGGAGCAACGAAAACGGATGGGGACAGAGTTCTTCCTCTGACGCCAGTAATGACCGACTGTTTACAGTGGCTGATTGACTGGCGCATTATTCAAGTCTGCGAAGTACAGAAACCGAATGGATTGGTATGGCAGTAACCCTGGTTGCGTGTGAACGGGAGATGTTCGGTTCGAGACTCTGGTTATTCTAAAAGCCTGTCCACATTACTCGTGCTCGTGCGTCAGAAGCTTACTGCTGCGGGAAAATCAGGATCTGGAGCTGATATCTGTTGTGAAGAAATGCGAAGGCTTTTTATGCAAACCGGTTTGGGCGTCCACTTCGTCAGCTCCAGATCCTGATTTTCCAGTAGCAGTAAGCTTCTGACGCACGAGCACGAGTAATGTGGACGGGCCTTAATAATTTTCGTGGATTTCCTGCCTTCCTCCACGAAACTACTGGGAGGGTACCACGATTAGTCTACGACATACGTAGAGGATCGATAATGGGCGAGAATTTCGATATTAAAATTCCAACTTACTTACTTACTTACTTACTCACGGAGCTGAGCCCTTCTTGAGGAGCCACCAATTCTGCAGCTACTCAAGAATTTCCCAGCATTTTATGGGACCCGAAGGTTCATTACCGTGTTCACAAGAGCCCTCCACCGGTCCCTATCCTGAGCCAGATCAATCAAATCCATACCATCCCATCCTATCTCTCTAAGAACCATTTTAATATTGTCCACCCACCTACGCCTTGGTCTTCCCAGTGGTCTCTTTCCTTCTGGCTTTCCCATCAATATCCTATACGCATTCCTCATCTCCCCCATTCGTGCTACATGCCCTGCTCACCTCATCATCCTTGACTTGATCATTCTAATTATACTTGGAGAAGAGTAAAAGTTATGAAGCTCCTCATTGTGCAGTTTTCTCCGACCTCCTGTCACTTCATCTCTCTTCAGTCCAAATATTCTCCTCAACACCCTGTTCTCAAACACCCTCAGTCTATGTTCCTCCCTTAATGTCAGAGACCAAGTTTCACACCCATACAGAACCACAGGCAAAATTATAGTTTTCTATATTCTAATTTTTATGTGTTTGGACAACAGACGAGAAGACAAAAGGTTCTGGACTGAATGGTAGCAAGCATTACCCGAGTTCAATCGCCTCTTAATATCCCCATAAATCAGGTTTCCATCTGTTATCGTTGTTCCCAAATATCTAAATTGTGCCACATTTTGGTGACGAGACAGAAACATATACTTAGTTTTCTCAGTGCTTACTTCTAGACCAACTTCTTTACTTGCGTCAATTAAAGTTTGTGTGTTTTTCTTTATGGTATCTACATTATCACCCAGTAGATTCACATCATCGGCGTAGACCAACAACTAATGTGTCCCGTTTAGTTTCAGTCCCACCTGGCTTCCCTGGACCTTCCTAATTGCATATTCTAAGGCAAAGTTGAAAAGGAGTGGTGATAAAGCATCTCCTTGTTTCAGACCATTCTGGATAGGAAATTTATCAGACAAATGTTTACCTACACGGACTTTACTATACGTTTCGTTTAAACACATTTTAATTAACCTAACTAGTTTCATGGGTATCCCAAACTCTATTAGAATATTGTACAATACTTCCCTCCTAACTGAATCGTAGGCTTTCTTGAAGTCTATGAATAGCTGATGTACTGTCTCATCGTAGTCCCATTTCTTCTCCAATATCTGACGAATGCAAAAGATCTGATCTGTAGTTAATCTGTTATGTCGAAACCCACACTGATGATCCCCAATAATTTCATCTATATATATGGACTTAACCTTGAAAGAAGAATATTGGACAAAATTTTATACGAAGTTGATAGCAGTGATATCCCCCGATAATTACTACAGTCAGTTTTATCACCCTTCTTGTGCACTGGTACAATAATAGACTCCTTCTACTGATCAGGCAATTTTTCCTTGTGCCAAATAGAAGTAATTAGATTGTGGATCTTAGAATGTAATATTTCGCCTCCTGCTTGAATAAGTTCTGCCGGAATTTGATCACTACCTGGCGATTTATACCGTTTCAGTTTTGCAATAACACTTTCAACCTCAAAAGGGCTAGGATCAGGTATTAACGGCTCAGCTGTATGGATTTCTCTCTGCCTAACATCACTAACCCTATGTACATTCAACAACTGAGAGAAGTAGTTCCTCCACCTATTCAAAATGTTGTGGGAATCTGCAAGCAGATCACCATTCTCATCCTTCACTAAGTTACTGCTAGGTTGGTAACCCCTCTTAAAGTCATTTATTACTCTATACAGGTCTCTTATGTTCTTGTTCTTACTGTTCATTGCAAGCTCATCAATTTTGTCTTTCAGATATTCCCTCTTTTTGTTCCTGAAATGCCTCCTGGTTTCGCGTCTTTTATTGTTCAGATTATCCCAATTTATTTTGCTTCAATCCTGTAACCACTGCAATTCGGCCTGCTTTTCTTTGATCTAATAATTTTGAGCATCCTTCATTGAACCATGGCTTATGCTTCTTCGGTTCATAATAACCTAGACTCTCTTTGGCAGACATTTTATTAAAATCTCAACTACTGATAAAATATTGTGCATTAGATAGATCTTGGTGGGAAAAAAAATGGCGATTAAGCAGGACAGTACAACAGCAATTTCTATATTTCACGGATGCCTATGACTCTAGCAAGATTGAAGTAATTCACAATATTCTCACTGAATTCGGTGTACCCATGAAAATTGCCAGGATATTTAAAATAGGTGTAAACGAAACCTGTAGAAAAATTTTTGCTTCATTCATTCTTTATTCAGAATAATTCGAAACAGCAAATTCTGTAACAAGCCGTGGATACCCATAGGTTTGTGAGCCGTAGAGGTTCTTACATTTTCTAAAGAATCGGCTCACAAATGGCGGTGAGTTTTTCAACCTTACGCGCCGGCCACCCTTTATCCCCAGAAAGACTCCTGGTACTCATTTCTGTTACAGGCTGAGTCGACCTCAGGGCCATAGTGCGGCCGGAAGGATTAGTTCAAATGAAAAATCCAACGACCTCATCGAGACTCGAAACCGTGGCCTTACGACTTGTAGCAAAGTGCCTCAACCAATTAGGCTACCGCTAGTCCCGATTCGAAACAAGGTGGTACATATTTCCCAGTGTCCTCTACTTTGCTTTGTAATGTGATATTATGGAGGTCCAATTGATTGAAATTGAATGGAACACGCGAATTTCTGGGCTATGTTGATGATGCTAATTTATTAAGTAAAACAAATATTGTAAAATAAAAATACAGAGACTCTGTTAGACCCTGCTAAGGAGACTGGTCTAGAAGTAAACGTAGAGAAATCTATGTCCCTGTCTCGTAATCAGTGTGCAGGATAAAACTGTAATATAAATACCCAACAAATCCTTGGAAAATGTGGAAAAGTTCTAATGTCTTGGAACGATAATAACAGATCAAAAGAGCAGATTAAATTCGGGGAATGCTTGCGACTGAGCAGTTCTCACCTGCTATCTAGAAACGTGAAGCTTACAACACACAAAACTACAATGTAATCCGCTGTTTGGTGCGCATGAGATCCCATCCCTGACAGTAAGGCAAGAACAGACTGGAGTGTGAGAACACATGCTGTGGGAAATAACTGGACCTAAGAAGAAATAAATGACCCTTTACCAATTATTATTTGGCTGAACAAGTAAAGGAGGATGCAAGTAGAACGCATAAGAGAGAAACGCATAAACAGTTTCGGTCGAAAAGACTTTAAAGACCTAGGCATATGGGAGGATAATAATAAAATGGACCTTACAGAAGAAAGAAGGGGGAGTTTTGACTGGGTTGCTTCGGCTCAGGATGGGGACGAATGGCATAATCGGTGAATAAAATAAACATTTGGCTTCAGTAAGAGGAGAGAAGTTTCTTAAGCACATGAGGGATTCCACCTTCGTTAGAAAGTTGGTTTCTTAATCTTTGCGGACACCTTTGCTTTCTTCGCAACGCTGTAAGTAAATCAAACTATATAATGTTGAATGATTGGATAACAGTGAACAAAGAATTGTAGACGATGTGGGTGGAAACAGGCATGGCCTAATTTAAGGCACTATTCCGGCATTTGCATGGAGGTACTGAGGACAACCATGAAAAACCTCATTCGGGAAAGTCGGTGTAGCAGTTATAATTCGAAACGTGTATCTTACGATTAC